CACACACACACACACACACACTTTAGATCTGATGGTCAGAACTCGCTGAAATAAAGCATGCCAATAATCCAAAACAAACACTGGGTCACCAAACTCAGGACCATGACAGAAGGGAGCCAGTTGAGACGGTTCGGGCGTCTGGCAAGAATATGTCCCGGGTGAGGTGTTCTGAGGAGGCCCCGGGGCAGACCCAGGACACTGTGCAGAGATTATATCTCTCGGCTGGCCAGGGAACACTTTGGTGTTCCCCCAGACGAGCTGGAGGAGGTGGCTGGGGAGAGGGAGGTGTGGGCTTCTCTGCTTAGGCTGCTGCCTACCGTACCTGGCCCCAGAAGATGGATGGACGGACAAATCACAGGAGATGTGGAAATCAGTCTAATCTAAGTATAATCTGAGTTTAGGCTCAAGTATACAAATAAGCCAGATCACTAATTACTAATCTATCTGAACAGGTAAACTTGAAACCCTCTTATCGCATTACTGACCATTATGCTCATCAGTTCTCAAAATAGCCTTGAATAGATGATTAATCCCTAATTGCTAATGCATGGCTTGGCTTCCTGCTAATGAAGCACAGAGCTGTTGGAGCTATTGGTTGGCAAGGTCCTGTTCCCAATCCACCCAAGGAGGCTCCCGAGCAGTCAACAGGGAGTCTACAGACATGCTCGAACAATAAATGAGTAACTTTGGTCTTTGTGATGCTTGGCTTTACATCGTTCAGCTCTCAGGGACTTCTTTTCACTAGTACTGCACTCAGATTCTTGCTTAGACTACTTTTAGTTAGCAGCTCCATTATGAGGGATATCACAGACACAGACTGGTGCCTGTCTCTCAGAGACACAAAGGAGTTACACCACCAATGAGCAGATATTCTTAAAGAAGTTATTTCACAAAAGAACAGGCAGTGTAAACACTGAGCGTCCAGTAATATCACTGTGCGTTTAAAGGAAGCAGGAACAGAATAATATTTTACTATTAAAACAAGAAAAATAATGAAAAAAACCTTCACCACAATAACATATAGTTAGCAATCTGAGAAAACTGAAACTGGAATTAAATGAAATAACTGACAAAAACACGATTTCTGGTGCAAAGGCTGCATTTGGAGAACTTTGAACATGGCAATAAATCCAGAAAATTCCAGGCTAACCAGTTAAAGCTAAGTTAAAAAACAACCAAAGACTCGCCTGGGAACATTACTCATGATCCGCAACAAATACATCTTTTAAAAGACTTTTCTGAAGCTTTATACGTATTAATGACGAATCCATCTGATGTTGTCCTTACATTATTACACAACGTGTGAATGCCATGAAGCCCACAGCAGCTCCAGCTCCACATGGTTTTCCAGCTCAGTTTTACACAATTTTGATCTTTGCTAGCACGCACTTTATTCAGAACGCTGACTCAAATTCAGATCACGCACCATCTCCCAGTATGAACTCTGCCAGTATGAGTCTGCTTCCTAAACCAGGCAGAGACCCTACACTCCCATCCAATCAAGCCAAGGGGACAAAAACCCAAAACACATTTCTTCTCTTCCAGGTCCCGTTTGTTCTTTTTAAATCCACAACATGCCACAGTTACAGCAGGCAGTAATAGAATCTACTGAATAACATTTTCCACGTGGATTCTACTCACCGATGGTGGTTTCACAGAACTTCTCAGCTGCTACTTCGTTGGCGATGTTTGCTCCCATCAGGACACTGACATCAATCTCCATCTTCTCACGGATGACGTCAGAGATCAGCCTCAGGCCCTCTGGACCCTCATATATACCCTGAGACAGTAATGAGAGGGGCGGTGGTGGATGAGCGATGGCATACAGGATGAGCCATAAAGGACACAGCTGCTTATACCCATGCTGTAGATGGATGCATGCAGAAAGCCAAGGGAGGAAACCAGCCTCCCCCTGATATGTTCCTTCAGACTGACCTCTTCACCCCAAGGCTAAGCCCTTGAAATGAAGCTAATTTCTGATGTAGCCTGATTCTTCCAGTCACTACCCACAGCTTGCAGCCAAACACATTCACCAGCACTCTCTCTACCAGAGTCCAAATAACTGCAGATGATGAACCAGTCCATCTCACACTCACCTGTTCACCCACTTGTGAACAAGAGATATTTGAGCTCTTGACTAGAGGAAGCAATTCTTCTCTAACCTGGAGTCTTTTCAGCTTCAGAGCCATGACGTGAGATTCTGAGGTACCAGTTCTGACTGATGATAGGGGGTTTGTGGAGATCAGCATTTGATGAGCCCAGTAGGACCACAGCATCCACAAAACACATAGATGTGATCTACTTCCACCATGCGTTATAGTTTACACCCCTTATTGTGCCTAGAAATTTGTTAATAGACCTCAGTGTCACCAAATGAGTCACACATGTTGATGGCAAATGCAAAAAATGACACTCGTGCCAAATTTGGACAGGCTGCAAACAGCCTGTGACTACAGACCGAAGACTTCGAAACAACAGTGTTACACACTCAAATTGTACTGTTTGGTTAGGGGATGCCCGAGGAATGGAGAAGTGCACTGGTACCAGTTTTTAAGAACAGAGTAATGTGCAGAGCTGTAGTAACTACCGAGGGATAAAGCCTGAGACAGATACCATGGAGGTATGGGAAAGAGTGGTTAAAGGTGATGATCAGTGAAGGGGAGTGTGGCTTCATGCAGAGAAAGAGCACTACAGACGTGATGTTTGCTTTGAGTACGCTGATGGACGCCTGCGATGTGACCCTGTGGAGCTAGAGAAAGATGAGACACCAAGAGAGGAACTGTGGGATCTTACGTGGCAGCTGAGGGTGACAGAAAAGTAGGTGAAGGTGTTGCAGGTCATGTGATGATAAGTGTATGCGAATGAAAGAGACACATGGAAAAGTGCAAAAGAGAGGTGAAGAAGAGTGCAGGCAGGGTGGAGTAGGTGGATACGTGTCAGGAGGGATGTATGACAGACAAGACGGGCAGTGCGACCTGCTGGGACGCTTGGTTTGCCCTTCTTAGCGCTGCTTCACAGAAGATCTGTAGTTTTGGTTTCCTTGTTTTTGATCTATATTATTTTGTACTTGGTATAAGCGTAACATTAAAAGACTGCTTGTGAGTTTACTTCTCATTTTCCAAGTGCTGTATTGTGGCTCTTCCTGCCTGCCACGTAGCTCCAGGGTGCAGCCAAAGCTTTGACAGCAGCACTTACAGGCTGCCCTGCAAAATATGTGCTCAAAATATGTAATAATGCAATACACAGCCATGAATGCGTCATGAGTACTGAAACAGACAAACACTGGACTCTGAGTTTAGTGTGTTTTTGTTTACAGTGCTTGGATCAGAATGTTGGGGGGTCCCTGTGGAAGAGAGACATCCAAACATCGAACTCACTCTTCAGCGCACACGCTCACTTTGTCGACATATTTGATCACAAAATGAATACTGCACATCACCGGATCCCTGGCTACTGCAGTCTGTGTGCCAAATGTCCTTACACATTTACTACCCCAAAGACCTTCGCTGTGTTTTATGGATGGCTGGAGACACTTACTGGCAAAAAGCTACTTCCGGCGCCCCCCGTGTGCGGCAGCCTGTTACAGCAGCTCTGCTCATTCTGAGTTTCTTTCT